ATCCAGCGCTAGTGTGTGCGTGCGTGTGCGAGTGTGTGTGTGAGTGTTTGTGTGAGTGAGTGTGTATGCGTGTGTGTGTGAGTGAGTGTGTGTGTGAGTGTGTGTGTTCATGTTTGTGTGTGAGCGTGTGTGAGTGTGTGTGAGATCCGTACACACACCTGATGTAGATGTACATGGGCTCGAAGGCCTCTCGTCCGGACGCGGGCTCCAAGCAGCCGGACCCCCGGCCCCGCAGGAAGACTTTGGCCCCGGTTTCGGCCTGAATGTGCTGCAGGTACGAGCAGCCGGGGCCCTCCACTCGCTCCTTCACACAGAAGCCCTGCACGGCCTGATCCAGACCCACAAACAGCTTGTCCTGTACGTAATGCATCTGACACACACACACACACACAGAGATACACACACACACACACACACACACACACACTCACTCACAGCAATGTTCAACACATACACACTCTCACACACTCACACACACACACACAGCAATGTTAAACACAAACACACACACACTCACAGCAATGTTAAACACACACAAACACACACACACACAGCAATGTTAAACACACACACACAGAATGAAGTGAAGCGTCGGTCACATCACTCACTGTCCACTAAGTCTCTGGTTTGTCCCTGGACGTGCAGATAGAGCGGACGGTCACTGCAGAAACATCAGAGAGTCATGCATTAGCATTTATATTCATCATAGAACATTTCCTGTCAAACTAATCAACAGAAACAGATGAACGTGACGACAGACCTGGGCAGTGCTTTGCTCTTCTCCTCCGCTGTCATGAAGCGTCCTCTGGTGGACACGGCAGCGCCGCTCACTCTGCTGATCTGTGTGGAATATACACATCTGCCCGTATTCAGTAATGCCATATATCACGATAATGAACATGCACGATATTGTTATTGCGGGCACTTCAAAATACAGAGAATAGTTATTTATTACAAATTATTCAGAATTTTGAATGCATTTTAAGAATACGTTTCCCATCAACTGGTCACAACACAACATATGCTGCATGAAAGACGCGTGCGCACTCTGATGTAAACAAAACGCTCTGGAGGACAACACTTTCACTCTCTGACAGCAGGTGGTGCTGAACTGCAGAAATGCAGTCGTTACCCCGGAAACCCCATAAACAAAACAGCTGTGCTACTTTGTTTCTTTCTGTCTCTTACGTCTGAAACGTATTTAAATGATTTAAACAGCCATTCAGATTTGTGTATTTGCTATGATGTTCATCACAGCGCCAAATACTTAAATATTTAGACTTAATAGGCTATTTATTTTCAAACTTTTTTTACATTTTAATCTGGACTACAACATGCCCTAGATATTGTTTGAAAGTGTTTTGATTCTTTATTGTTCGGTCACACTTTACATTAGGGCTTCATTAGTTAACATTAGTTAATTCATTAGTTAACATAAACTGCCAATGAAAAATTCTTCTGAACATTCATTAATCTTAGGTATTCCAATATTTAATAACACGTTGTTAAAATCTAAAGTTGCAACTGTGTTATTTAATGAGCTAACATGAACTAAGACTTGTATTTTTAACAAAGATTCTGTAGCAAATGTAGCTATTGCTCATTGTGAATGTTAATGCATTAACTAAGGTTAACTAATGAGGTCTTATTGTAAAGTGATACCTATTGGTCTTTATAGTTCTTTTGCACTTTAATCTGTGTAAAACTTTTAACTTTATACATTTTTCTGTATTGCTTCATTGCATTTAAATGTTCAGTTATTTTTGTTATAAGAAAAATATATATTAAGCCTGTTATACTGTATTATGACAGCACTTTTTTAAAACTAAATTGCAATACCGTGATAACACCGTATACCGTGATAAAAGCATTAGCAATTAATCGCAACATGAAAATTTGATACCGGCATATCCCTAGGTAGATGTAATGTTACAATAGTAGACATTGTAAACAGACTGTGTGGTCACAATTATGAATATGGGACTAATTATTTAAACATCTTGTATTTTAGCTACATGTACAATAAGCAGAATAATTGCAACATAAAATGAAAAAGGTTAGAAAAGGTTAGAAAGCATGAAGCTTGCGGTGTCAGAATGCCAGTCTGTCAGTCAAATCCAAAGAAAGACGCAACCCATAGCAACGCGTTATAACTAGGGAG